AATATATATAGGATGACCGTAGCATGGAGGCGCATGCCTATAGTCCCAGCTACTCGGGAGGCTGAGACAGGAGGATCGCTTGAGCCCTGGAGTCTGAGGTTGCTGTGAGCTAGACTGACACCACGGCACTCACTCTAGCCTGGGCAACAAAGCAAGACTGTCTCAAAAACAAACAAACAAACAAAAAAACCAGAAATCTATCTTCAAGGTAACCTGACAGCTAGGATTAGTTTCACCTGAGTTTGATCTTTATATAAGTGGAATCATTCAGTATGTCATCTTTTGTTTCGGCCTTCTTTTATTCAACATGTTTGTGAGATTCATCCATGTTTTTGTGAATAGTTACAGATCATTCATTCTTGTCATTATATAGACTCCACTGTGTGAATGCACCACAATTTATTATTCTACTTTTGCTGGGCATTTGTATAATTTCCAATTTTGTGTTCTTATGAATAGTGCTGCTATTAACATTCTGTGTGAATGCACCACAATTTATTATTCTACTTTTGCTGGGCATTTGTATAATTTCCAATTTTGTGTTCTTATGAATAGTGCTGCTATTAACATTCTGCCATTTGTGTTTTGGGGAATATATTTCTGTTGGATATATGATACCTAGTTGTATAATTCCTGGATCAGAGAGTATAGAAGCGTATATAGGGTGCAGCTTTAGTTGATACTTTGTTTCCAAAGTGGTTGTACCAATTTATACTTCTACCACCTTTGTATGAGAGTTCCAATTATTTTACATCCTTGCCAACACTTGGTATTTTCTATATTTTCATTTCAGGCATTTTGTAGATGTGTTGCTGTATTGCATTTCATTATATTTCCTTGATTAATTTGTATTTTAATTTATCTTTGTATAATTTAATTTATATATTCTTGTTTAATTAAGTGAGCATCTTTTCATATGTTTTTTGGCATTTGTACATCTTTTATGAAGTACCTGTTAAGTCTTTTACTCACTCTTCTTTGGGTTGTGTCTTTTGCTTACAGATTGTAGAATTCTTTGTGTTATAAGTATCTAAATATCTTCCATTCTGTGGGTTACCTTTTCACTTTCTTTTCTTTCTTTCTTCTTCTTTTTGGACATAGGGTCTTAGTCTGTTGCCTGAGCTAGGGTGCAGTGGCTTCATCGTAGCTCACTGCAACCTCAAACTCCTGGGCTCAAGCAATCCTCCTGCCTCAGTCTCCCAAGTAGCTGGGACTACAGGTGTGTACCACCATGCCTGGATAATTTTTTTTCTGTTTTGGCTGGCTAATTTCTTTTCCATTTTTAGTAGAGATAGGGTCTTGCTCTTGTTGAGGCTGGTCTTGAACTTCTGATCTCAAGCAATCCTCCTGCTTCAGTCTCCCAGAGTGCTAGGATTACAGGTGTGAGCCACCACAGCTGACCTAGGTCATTTTTGATAAGTTATAATTTTGGAGAATCTTGTCCATTACATACAAATTGTCAAATTATGGCATATAGTTGTTTACAATATTCTTTTATCTTTTTTGATATCTATAGTCATATTCTCTTTTTCATTCCTGACATTGGTAATTTGTACTTTTTTCTCTTTTTGTTTCTTTATCAGTCTTGATATACTTGCATCAACTTTATTAAATTTTTTCAAGAGAAAGGCTTTTGGATTTGTTGATTTTGTCTTGTATGTTTGTTTCCTATTTTTCTAGACTTTTCCTCTAAGCACTGGTATAGTGTATCCATAGGTTTTGATATTTCATTATTCTTTCCACAATATTTTCTATTTAACATTCTTTTTTACTATGGATTATTGAGAAGTATACTCTTTTATGTTCAGGTAGCTGGGGTGTTTCTAGCTCTTAATATCAGATAATATATATTTCAGTTTTGAAATATCCATTTGATTCTTTCCAACAGAGTTCAAATCTCTGGTGTGATTCTCTCTGCTTTAATCTGTCTTTTATTCTATTTCCTTGCACAGAGCAATCACGGTTATTTTAAAGTCGTTATGTGCTACTTCAGATACCTGGGTGCTCTGCAGTCTGACTTCTCTCTCGATCACCACTTACGTGTTCTTGCATCTTTTTGGGTCTGGTGACAGCAGGTCCCCTGGGATTGTGACCGACAGCCCGGAGTATCTGAGCCCTGAACAGCCCCCAGGAGACCCGGCTGTGCCCTTCAGTGGCTACCACCGCAGCCCTGCCCCCTCGACATCCCACTCTCCAACCCCTCGTGCCTTCAGAGTCCGGCACACGTCTGAAACGGGAGAAGGCCGTGTGTGCGAGGAGAGCTTGCTTCCTCTGGTAGCTGTCTGTTTCCCGTGAGATGCCTGGAGATTTCACTCTGCCCTTGAAGGGGCATCTGTCCATGGGGGAAAAGCTTCCGTGTGTTTAAAGCCTCTTAAGTTTCCAGTTTGTCACACCACCTCCCCACTCCGAATCTAACAAGTGTTTCCGGTTTCTTTCCCGCCATCCTAGGCCCTCTGCATGAGCCCAGCCTGGCTCTCTCCCAGAATCAGAACATGTCCCCAGGGTGGGGGACGATGGCCCTTACACTCTCCTTGGAATGACTCTTTCCCCTTTGATATTTTAGTTGATCCAGGCTCCATGGCTTCTGCAGCTCTCTAATGCCTTTACGATGAAGACTTTTTATATCATAAGATTTTTGTAATTTATCTGGATTTTTCTAGTTCTACAGTGGGCGTATTGGCTTACACACCCTACCCGGAAGTACCTACAGCCATATATTTTATTGACATGATTTCACATAAATTCCAGAGTGACTCCCTGTTTGGAGCATATCAATTTATTTTGCTTTAGCTTTCCTAGAGTTACCTGACAAAAGCCCTTATTGTTTCATTCCATCAAATAAATTGAATTTCCATACAATTAATAGAAACAAATGCTCACTTTGGATAAAGTTGAGACATCACTTGGTACTATTAACTTTGATCGAATGGGTAAGTGTTGTTTTTTTCCTGGCTAAACATAATACCTAGAGATAAGTTTTCAGTGACTGATAGAAAAGAGCTTTTAAATGAAAGTTGCTCTGATCTATGAGGCCTTTTTAAAAATCATGTTCTTTTTGCTCTAAGTCTTTTGGGCCTTGTTCAAGATTATTCTCCCTAACGATGGTTTTGTATATTAATGCCAACCTGGTTTCTATTTACCATACATCTTTAGGGACATTTTGGTCCTCTAGAAACAGCTGTGACACCAGATTTTAAATTTCCTTGTCTGATATTGGTATTAACAGAGTTAGACAGGAAGTAGACGCAAGCTGTGTTTTTCTTGAGTCATGGGAGGACCGTTCTTGGCTTCACTCTTTCCTTCCTGGAACCCCAATTGGGCTGGGATTAACATTTGGTGAACATTTAACATGGCTTTTGATGCAGAATCCCGAGGGCACAGCACTTCACTGCCATTTCTCATAACAGGGTTCTACGCAGGAATTATCTTCCTCATTTTGTAGAAATCGCGACTGAAGCATTTGCAGTCACACAGCCAGACGGCTCGTGTGGGTGTCTGCTGAATGTTGAGAAAATAAAGATGAGACTGAATTTCCTCCTCTGAAGCGTGTGGTCGTAAGGTGTCGCTGGGTCTTGATGACGTGGTAAGCTATTTCCTCACAGTCGGATAGCTAGTAAGTGGCATGGTAGAACTTAAAACCAGCTTGCTACTTCCAGGTAGAAATTTTAAAGAATGTTAAAGATGCAAGAAACCAAAGGTAGGAAAATCAGATCTTAACGGTATGACTTTGAGAAAGTCACCTACATTCTGTGTCTGGCTCCTAAGTGTAAATCAGGGTCTGGTTCCCCTCACTATTTGGGGGCCAGGTGGATGCACAGAAAAGTGTCACTGATTGATGATTGCATGCCTGGAAAGAAGGCTCTCATTTTTGGCAAAAAGTAAGTATACTTCGTTTCTTATTTTTTTGATGAATAATCGCATAAAATATTTCATAAGGCAATGACAACTCTACTGTGCTTTATTTCAACCTTCTTTTGTGGCATTCTTAGCTGAGAAATTTTTCTACGAGGACAGGAAGTTTTATGTAGAACCCTGAAGTCATTACTTCAGCTGATCTAGCATTGATAGTTTTCATTTATACGGCATTTTAAACATTCCCTAGGCTCTTGTCATCTCTTGTTAACGTCCTTCGTACTCTGTCTAGATCTCTTCCTTCCGGAAAGCTTTTTTGTTCTGATGACTCTCATCTCTTGCCCGGGCAACTCCCTATGCAAATCTCCTCTCCTTATTCCATTCCTGTATGGCCGTCTCTCATGGGACATAATCCCAACATGTCATCCCTCTAGAACAGGATGGGAGCAATCCCCTGACACGAGCTCCCTGTTTCTATCAATGGAATGACCATTCCTGATTTCCTTGTCCCCTGCAGTCTGGTCTCAGCAAAGCACAGCCCTTTGAACTCTCTTTCCTTTCCCCACCAGCAAGTCAGTTCCCCGAGGACGGGATGTGTTTTGCTCACTGCTGTGTTCCTAGCATCTCAATCAGGGCCTGGCCCATGGTTTTTGCATTATCAGCTTTTTGAAGGAAGAACAATTGTTTCATGGCTAGGAAGCCACTAGCTGAGTGCACCTGATGCCTTTCCATGGTAGCATATTACAATAGGATAAAAGCCCTGGGGACAATTCAATTGTCAGGGTCAGTAATGTCCTGTGGGACTGTCTTTCAACTCGTATGAAGTCAAAGAACTCTCTGCAAATGACAGCATGGAACAAAGTAGACAAAGGACATCCGTGTGGCTTCCTAACCTTGGTGCCCGCCTGAGATGGCACAGTGAGCTTGCCCCACCCTGACGTCACTTACCTTCCGCAGAGACCCGGGGATTCCAGGACTTGGGGATATTCCTGACTCAATACGCACATGTTTAAACGTTTGCTTCCCTGCTCCCATGCATTTATATCCTTCTCAAGAACACCTCTGGGTGTCTCAGGAGAAATTAAAAATGTACAAATATATTTGTAACTGAAAAGTATACTCCCGATGGTCTTTTTCAAATCACTCACCACTGTCAATTGCCAAGAAGAGGGCAGTGTACACGCTGTTGTGGACGAACGGGGACTCGCGGTCCAGCACGGCCGTGGTGTCAACTGTCCCATTGATGGGGTTAATATTCAGCCAGCCTGCTGGGTCCTTGTAAACGGAATACCTGAAAAGAACCCAAAGCACCGTCAGATTGCATTCAAATGAGTTCAAGACACATTTGCTAAGTGCTGGATACAAGCTGCTATGCTAGGTGCTGGGTCATGCCCAACCACAATCCAAAAACGTCATTTCAGCTACAGTTGCTGATTCAGAAGGTGACGGCCGGCCACCGACCCAGTTGGCCAGGAATGACCAACTCGGGTCGCCCAGAAGGACGGCCAGGGAAGGGGCTGTCGCAGGGAAGGGGCACCTGTGCAGCTGCCGCGAGCCTGCTGGTGGCCCAGGGCAGATGGCGCTTCACCCACGGCCCTGACCCGGTCACCAGCCCCTCCTGGAGCCTCAGCCTCGGGCTGCGGACGTGTCGGTGGTTCACTGGGGCCGGGGCCTCGCCTGCCCTCTTCTTACGTGATCTGCCCCATTCCCCGGAATGCTCTGGAAATATCCGACTCAGCGGAGCCCTGGGGGACAGTGTTCTGAAGCTGCGACAGTGACGGGGACAGATGGCGAGAATGAATGAGGCTAACGCGGGGCTTCCCACACACATTGCCGCCTTAATTATCATTTCACTGTTTTGTGAAAACAGAAGCGACGTAGTACTCATGAGAGGGAGCTGCTTTAAAAACTCCAGTCTCTCATTTCAGTAGTAATTTCTACTTCCACCTGGCAAAGCCCTACTATTTTTCAAGACCCTGCTCACGTGTGCTCTCATTTGCCACATGTGACTTCCCCGGTACAAAGAATCGCCCTCCCCCAGGTCCTTGCTGGGCACATGCCTGGATCCAAACGCCCCTTAGAGCACAGTATGGGCCCTCCTAGGTCTGCCGCCGTCACTGACGCTAAGCTCCTGGTGTCAGGATGATTGCCGTGTCATAGTCAGTAAAAGGCAAGCAAGAATGGTCCTCATGCCCAGCTCTGTGCTGAGCGCTTCGTGGGCATCACCACATTTATTTGTGTGATTCACAACAACCGGATGAAGCAAGTACAATCCCTGTTTTAAAGATGATGTAACCAAGGATCAGAGAGGCTTAGCACCTCACCAAAAGCAGTCCAGCTAGGAAGTGACAGGCCTATAATTTAACACAGGTGTGCTGGATCCCAGGGGCTGGGCTTTAACTGGGTCTGTTTCTCACGCCTAAGACCAGGTATCGTCCACTGTGCCTTCCCGGGGCTGAGTCACGTGCCTGGACTCAGTGGGTGCCCAGCGAATGTCCCCTGCATCTTTTTTCTTTCAGTCGGAACAACCGTGGAATTGGAAAATGCAAGGAAAGGTAGCCTGTCTTTTCAGGTAATGAGTTCATAGCTGACCCAGGAGTATTTTGTGGTAGTTCAACATATCTGAAATAATGACAGTTTTAACTGGACCATATTTTATTCCCTGATTCCTCAACTCCGTTTAGAACATAAATGAAAACGGAATTAAATAACCTAGCCTTTTCACAGCGGCACACAAGCAATGACCTTCGGTGCTCCCTCTGTCGTCGTTTTTGGTCTTATGCTGCTATAATTGTGCAGCATTCACGTGTTTGTCTGTTCTCGTGTACAAGGAGTGAGATGCGTGGAGACAGGACCGGGGGCTCGATCCTCTAACGTTTCCAGTGAGAGCCAGGCCCGGCTGGTCTTTACAGGATGCCGTTGCACTCTTTTTCTTCCTGAAAAAATAATCAAGTGTCCATAGCTGTGCTATTTAATTGTGTTTTCACAGGACCCTTTAATTCTGCTTCCCTCTATTTATTTTACTGTTTGGTGCCTCTTCCCTTGGGAGCCCTGGTGGTACGCCTGTGTCACAGCTGCTGCTCCTGCTCGGGCAGGGAAGGACAGGGACACCCATCGCTCAGCACTCCCGAGCTCCCAGCAGCTGGTTCACACTCTGCCCTGAGCAAACTAAGCGCTGGGTGGGCGCTGGGTGGGCGACATCCTCCCCAGCCCAGGGAGGACAGCTCAGCTCGAGACCACCCACCGGCCTGCTCCTCCATTTCCTGCCTTTTGAGCACTTTTGTCAAATCAGCCTTTTTGACCAATTGGCCAGGCACGCTATGTAAATTTCTGACATTTTCAAAGCTGTCTTTTTAATAAACCTTTCAGTGTAAAAATACCAGTGTGCAAGATGTTTTCTACGCTTCTAGGCTTGAAAAATGCATATGCCTTATTAAATTGGAATTTCCAGGCAATTTATCTGTAATGTGAACTTTGCTTGTTACAGGAAAAAAAAATCAAATTAAAAACAGAGCTCATTTCAGTCTGTAATGTAGCTCCACAGAAGCTGCTCCGAGTGCTTGCCAAGCCCTGGCCTCTTCTGGGTGTCGGTGTGGGAGACTCGGGGCAGCCTGATCAACAGGAGCCGTGCAGGGGAGGGGCGGGGACGGGGCCCTGCACCGCGCTGGGTTGCTGGCTGGCTCTCAGCAGGGCCCATCTGAGCGGGAAAGAAGCTGCCAGGCAAGTGGCCAGCGCCAGGTGCTGACCTGGACGGACTTCCAGGGCCGGAGGCTGCCAGCCTCCACCCTCAGGGGCCCCGGTATTGGTGGGAAGGGGAAGAAATCAAAGATCTGACAAGTTCCTTCTGCAGTCTTCTGGGGGTCACTCTCTGTGACATAGGGGACCCATGTCCATGCAGCACAGGTGCCAACATTACATGAGTTAGCATAGCCCTCCTTTATTTTAAACTTAAAAATACTATAAAGTAATATAGATATAGTGTAGGATAACCAGATAATGCAATATAATAGAGCACAAGAAATGGCACAGTTTTTTTTATATCTATGGTATATAAAGATCCATCTGTCACTTTATACGTCACTATATAATACTGATATAGATACATAGGTAGAAAGGACCTGTGGCCTTCTGATTCAAGATTGTTCTTTTTTAAGCATCAAAGGAGGCAGGAAAAGCTTCATCTTTCTCTGCTGCAACCCTTTTAATAAAAGGATTTGTTCTGTAAAATTTGGATTCAGTCAAAAGGCCATACTTAAGGACACAGAAAACCACAGGTTTCCCACCCCTGCTTAGATATCTTTCTGATCTCAGTGCCAAAACTAAATTCAAGATGAACTCAAACACAAAACTTGGAAGGAAATATAGATAAGAGGAGAAAATATTTGCAACACAAATAACCAAGGATTTCCATCCAGCATACAGCAAGAATTTCTATAAGCAAGGGACACGAACAGAAAATTCATGGTAATGGAATATAGAAGATGTTCCCCAAAACATAAGAAAGGGCATTCAACTTCACTTAAGAGAGAATCACAAATTAAAACTGTACTAAGATACTAGTTTTTACCTATCAGATTAACAAAATCCCAAGGTTTGACAACACAATCTTGTGAAGACGAGAAAAGCACCGTGTCAGTTTCCTGCGGCTGCTGTAACAAATGACCACAGACTTGGTGACTTAACGCAAGCCGGTTCTCTTACAGGGAGAAGTCTCATACGGGGTCAGAAGTCTGACATGGTCTCCCTGGGCCAAAACCAAGGTGCCAGCGGGACTGTGCTCCTTCTGGAGCTTCCGGGCAGAGTGTTTCCGTGTCTCTTCCCACACTGCTTGGTTTATGCCACCTCCTCCGTCTTCAAAGCCAGCAGCGGCGGGTTGAGTGCCTTCCGTGTGATCACAGCTGGAAAGTGTCCTCTGCTTTCAAGGACTCGTGTGATTGTATTGTGCCTATCCAGATAATCCAGGGTAATCTCCCCACCTCAAGGTGCTTAACCTTAATCACATCAGCAAAGTCCCTTTTGTCATGGAAGGAACATAGACACAGGTTCCGGGGATTAGGGCACGGACATCTTTGGGGATCATTGTTTTGCTGACCAGACGCACTTTCGTCAATTGCTGCTGGGGGCACAAATTGGTCAATATCTCTGGACAGAAACAGCGATCTCTACCAAGATTATAAATGCATTTAGCCCTTGACCCGACCATCTCAGATCCCTGGCTTTATCCAACAAATGTAACTGCTTACATATGAAATAACACATATACAAGTTTGTTAGTTAAAGTACCGTTTGTAATAGCAAAAGACTGAGACAAGCCTAAGAGTTGTTTCCAACTGGGGGACTGGGAGAATGTGTTTGGTATTACGCATCCACACAGAGAACAACAAGGAGCTGTGGGAAAGGATGAAGATGCTCTCTTGAACAGAATGGAAATATTTCCAAGATACCAAGATACAGAGTAAAAAGCAAGGTGCAGGACAGTACACATGGTATGCTACATTTTGTGTAAGAAAGGGACAAAATAAATCCTTGCATGGAGAAACTCTGGAATGAAGTACAGGGAATCAGTCAAATTGGTTGTGAGGAAGGAGGCCTGGGGTCCAGGGCAGATGGCAGAGTGTGGGGGCAGATCTTCACTGTACAATTTGTTGCTGTTTTTTGAATTATGTGAATGGATTACATAGTTGACAATTAAAAAGAAATGTATATAATAAAGACAAAAACACAAAAAACAAAGAAAACAACAGAAAAACAGTCTAAAGTATATGAAATGGCCCAGGTGTGGTGGCTCACGTCTGTAATCCCAGCACTCTGGGAGGCCGAGGCAGGAGGATCACTGGAGGCCAGGAGTTTGAGAGGAACCTGAGCAAGAGCGAGACCCTGTCTCTATTGAAAATAGAAAACATTAGCCAGGTGTCATGTTGTGCAACTGTAGTCCCAGCTACCTGGGAGGCCGAGGCAGGAGGATTGCTTGAGACCAGGAGTTTGAGCTAGGCTGACTCTACTGAGGGCAACAGAGTGAGACTCTGTCTCAAAAAAGAAAAAAGAAAAGAAAAGATAAAAAAGAATATGATTTGGCGATTCAGAGGGGATCCTTGAATGATGACGAACCCACATAATAACATCAGTCTCACTATTATAGCAACGAAGAATGAGGAACGTGGAAATTCAAACAGCAAGGGGACACCGCATTGAACCCACCAGGTGGGCGAACAGGAACTGCTGCGGTGCAGGTGAGCATGCTGTGAGCCGGGAACTCTCTTGCTGCCACGTGCAGCTTATTGTGCAAAGTAG